GAAGTTAGAGGGTTGACATGTTGTGGGGTTGTTAACCAATGTCATAAAACAATATGTGTACTACTGTTTCATGAGAAACTATTTGTTCTGTAAGCCTTTATCTGAAGTACAATAAAAAAAAAAAAAGTGCGTGTTATACCCACCCAAATAGCTAAAATTAAAAAGTGGTATAAAACCAACAGTTGGCAAGGATATGAAGTAACCAGAGCTCTCGTACACTGTTGATGAAAGTATAAAAAGAAACAGCCACTTGGTAAAAGGTCTATCAGCTTCTTATAAAGTTAAACGTATGCCCACCCTATGACCCAGCAGTTCTACAGCTAGTGAATGCCTAGGTATCTGTCCAAGAGAAATAAAAATGTATGTCCACAAAGAGGCTTATCCAAGAATTTCACAGCAGCTTTTTTTATATTAGCCCAAACCCAAAAGGCCCAGGTGTTCTTCTACAGGAAAGTGGATGAGCAAACCGTCATGTACTCGTATAGGGGAATACTACTCAGCAATAAAAAAGAACATAACACTGATGGATGAATGTCAAAGATTATGCTCAGTGAAAAGCCTTCAGCCGAAGAGTACACATTGTACGATTCCATTTACGTGAAGTTTTAAAACAGGGAAAACTAATCCATGGTGAAATAAATCACAACAACTGTTGCTTCTAATCGCGTGTTGGGGGAAGAGACTGATTGGGAAGGGGAATGAAAGAACTTTTCTTTCCAGAGAAACGCTCTGGGTCTGGATAGGTGTTTGGGTTACACGGCAGATACATCTATCTAAGCTCACTGAATGATACACTTAAGATATGTACATTCCACTTATCTAAAAACCAAAAAAAGAACCGCAAACTCTAGTCTAATGATAGGTAGGCTGAAATGTCTAGGGGTGAAGTATACTCATGTCTGAAACTCTTTAAAATGTAACCAAAAACCAAACCAAACGCATTGCTGTCCCGTCAATTCCGACTCACAGCAACCCTACAGGACACAGCAGAACTGCCCCATAGGGTTTCCAAGGCTGTAAATCTTTATGGAAGCAGACTGTCACATTTTTCTCCCATGGAGCGACTGGTGGGTTTGAAGCACCGACTTTTCACTTTTCGGTTAGCAGTGGGGCTCTTTAACTACTGTGCCACCAGGGCTCCTTTGAAACGTAAAAGAGAAAGATAAGTGAGGGATGGAACGATTATAAATATGTGATCAAGCAAAACCAGCAAAGAGTTAACAACTGTAAGATCTGGGTGGTGGGTGTTGGGGTACTCACTCTATAACTCAAGTTTTCTAAATGTTTGAAAATGTTCATAATAAAATGCTGGGAAAAATATACATACCAACAAAACAGCTGTTTCTCTTCTTCTCGAGAACTTGACTTATATTTCTAATGCTACAGAGGGAGAATTTATTGTTGTTAAGTTTGTCCCCGGACGTCGCCCTCGCATACATGATGTAATTGCCATTTTCTTTTTGTCCTAAATTCTTAGATTCTCCTGGAGTGCACTCTGTTCCAGAATCATGCTGTCAAAAGAATACAGAGTTACATAAAACAGCAAAGAAAATAAGGCTTTTGGGTCATTTGACGAAATGTAATTTTCTCCTCAAAGAACAGTGGAAGCTTGTGGAGTCTCCTTTTCTTTAGAAAGGATCTTAATTGTTTTAGACTATGAGTGGGAAAACAGTCTGCTCTTCTAGAGGTCCTGTGTTATCAAAGAGGAAAGTCAGAGGAGACTCAGCCATAATGACAGGTGGGGGTCCAGCTGTGTGAGCAGGGGGGCAGGCTGTCCTCTGTCTAGGAAAATCAGCTCACCTAGTTTTAAAACTAGTAACAGGAAATGTAACTACTACTCAAAAACTACTAATATCTTTAAAATATACAGAGTCACATGGTGTGACTAGCTGACAGAAGACGGAGATGGGGCAGTAAGAGAAAGACAGGAAGCTGGAGAGACAGACACAGTGCCACATCCACACGGGACAGGCACCTGAGAGGGCTGACTCATTAGCACACAAGAAGAGGGAAACTGCTGAGTAGGGATGGAGACACAATGATTTACTTTAACATGAGAATTACAAGCCAAGAGGTGAACCAAACTACTGCTTTGCAGACTAGAACAGAAGGCAGGGGTTGTGCGCGTGTATGTGAGGAGAGCAGGGTTTGTTGTTTGTCTTTCCTGGAGGGAGTGTCATTTTAGGGACATATCAGATACACACAAAAAGTACTACACCATGGCTCAATTAATTTTCTCAAAGTAAATACACTTATGTGACCAGCACTGAGATCAAGAAACAGAACACTATCAGGTTCCAGTAGCCCTTTCTCTCGTGGGGATGCTTGTTTCAAAAAACAAAAGAAAACGTCACAATGCTCCTAAAACCACAAGCCAGAACAGGTCAGAATGGGTGAAAAACACTGAATCCTAGAGTAATAGTTCTATTTAATTAAATTATTATTTTATAATACCCAACAACCCTACTTTAGTAGGGTTCCAGGAGAAAGAAAATGCCCAAGGGCGTTCTGCTTCTTTCTAGATCCATCAAAATCACTTCCATTTTCTACTTCCCCCGAGCTGGGGCAACTACTAACAATATGACCCTCCTGTCATCTTTATTCTTCCTGACACCTCCTGCTTTTCTCCTGAACTTAGATTCAGCATTTAACAACTCTATACTATTCTTCAAAATTATCTTGCTTTCTATTTTCATTCTACAAATTTCAATTCAGTTATTGATAATGTACAGCACTAGAATTATGCTCAGTATTCAAATTTTACAAAGGGAAAAAAAACCCAATACTGTGTAACTCTTGATGTTTATATTTTACATCACAGAATATCTTACCACCTTTCAGTTCAAACCAATAAATATTAATAAGTATACAATATATACCAAGGAAATGCTAAAATATGATATTATAAAAATATAAAGATGAGTTACTTTCTATCCCTCAGGGGACCACAGACTAGTTAAAAGGGATAGCAAATTCTGACATATCTGCCAGTGGCATCACTAGGAGGGTGCTGAGGGGTAAGGACTGCACCCCCGACACTGTCAGCGGGAGTGACACCAAAATGACCCTATGGTCTGTGGCAGCAGTGGGCAGATCACACACTGCCAGGGGGTGTGGGTGGGGGGTTAAGGCAGTGGCACTACTGGGGTTGGTGTCACCCAGTGAGGTATTTCGTCCTCTCTCCCCACCTGCCAGTCAGGGTGCAGGTGGCTGGGCCATGGCGCCCACCATTGGGTGTAGAGTCTCCGCCTTGGCCAATGCGAGAGAGAAGAAGCTGTGGGGAGCCACAGGGAGCAGGCTGGGAGAGCCAGCACTCAGCCCTGCTTAGGTGATGGGGTGGGGCCGGCCACTGTACCCGCAATGAGGGGAAGGAACATGAGTTACCACACTGGGTGACACCAACCCTAGTGATACCACTGATATCTGCCGAGGTTCACCCGACCCATAACCCCATTACAGACATCACTAACCGATTTACCTTCCTACCCCAGGAGCCCTGGTGGCACACTGGTTAAGAGACTCACTGCTAACCAAAAGGTCGACAGTGTGATCTACCAGCCACTCCTTGGAAACCCTACAGCGAGTTCTACTCTGTCCTGTAGGGTCACTATGAGTTAGAATCAATGCAATGGCCATGGGTTTGGTCTGGGTATCCCAGAAGGCTGTTTTATCCATCATCATCGGCGGCCATGGAAGGGGGAATAAGTTGTAAACAAGCATGCAAGCTATTGGCCCTCCTCAGATAAGGAAGATAAGCACACAAATAGACAACACCTATTACAGATACGAGATAGAGCCCGTTGAGACTGCACCCCAAAAGTGCTATGAGAGATTAAGAAACTATATTTTCATTTGAAAAAGAAAAAACTCTTTTCTGGCTATAAACATAACACATTTATAGAAAAATTAGAAAATACAAAGAAAAATGGATAAAGAAAATTTTAATCATAATCCATCACCCACAGTAACTACTACTGTAAGACTCTGGCCTATCTCCTACCTGACTTGTATCCAGCCGTATCATGTTCATACAAACTTTGGACTCTTCCATGTGCACAGTTGTATGTGAGTTTTTAGCTTCACAGCATGTGGTGAGCACTGAAAACCTGACGTGCAAATGGCTGCAGAGCATTTCACGATATTGTTCTACTGTGAGGCCACTTAGACTGTTTAAAAGTCTTTGTTATTATAAATAAAACTGCGATACACTTTTTTTCTACTTTCATGCTTTGAAGTGTACACATCCATCTTTGACAGACACTCCATTCATTTCTTTCAGTTGGTGTTATGGGCTGAATTGTGTCCCCCAAAAATACGTGTTGTAAATTCTAACCCCTACACCTGTGGAGCCCTGATGGCGCCGTGGTTAAGCGCTCAGTTGCTAACCGAAAGGTCAATGGTTAGAACCCACCAGCTGCTCCACGGGATAAAGATGTGGCAATCTGCTTCCATAAAGCTTACAGCCTTGGAAATCCTATAGGGCAGTTCTACTCTGTTCTATGGGGTCACTATGAGTCAGAATCCACTCAACATCAATGGGTTTGGGGTTTTTTCTTTTTTTTTGGTTTATACATGTGGCTATAATCCCATCTGGAAACAGGGTTTTCTTTGTTATGTTAATGGTGTTGTGAATTGCCCTGGAGTTGATTCCAATTCAGAGCAACCCCATGTGTGCAGAGCAGAACTGCTCCATAGTTTTCACGCTGTGACCTTTCAGCAGCAGATGGCTAGGCCTGTCTTCCTGGATAGGTGCTGCTGGGTGAGTTCAAACAGTCAACCCTTCAGCTAGATGTCAACCGTTTACGGCTCCGGGGGGAAGAGGAAGGTTTTAATTAAGCCAATCACTTCTGAGATATGAAAGGAGCAGCTTAGGCACAGAAGCCATAAGCACAAATGGAGTGGGAGATACATGCCACATAAAGATCACCAAGGAACATCAGAGAAGCTGAGACAGGGATTTCCCCCCAGAGCAGAGCCTTCCCCTAGAGCTGGTGCCCTGAATTCAGACTGGGAGCCTCCTAAACTGTGAGAAAATAAATGTCTGTTCATTAAAGCCACCCATTTGTGGTATTTCTGTTATAGCAGCACTAGAAAACTAAGACAACTGGATTCTCAGAAGTGGACTTACTAGGTTAAAAAGCAGAACATTCTAAGGATCTTGGTATATACTGCCAAACTGCCTCATATAAAGGGTCACATTAATTTACATTATATAAGACGGTTAATGTGACTGCTGTGAATAAGTTGTAAACCTCCTGTAAAAAGCTGAATTGGCAAAAGTTGTGTGGTAGATATATTTACAACAACAACAACAAAGAGTCTCTGCTGAGGCTGCTTATGTACAACCAAATACCTCATGGGATTTGGTGCCGTGATTTGGAGTTTCAGGGTCATGGTTTCACAGGACATCCCAGATAATTGTCCTAGTAACATGTTCAGTGCTTCTGCTCTACCTCCTATTTCACTGAGCAGTGCAGTGAGTGTCTTAAAAGCTTGCAAGCAAAAAGCTTGCAAGTGGCCATCCAAGGCACAACAATTGGTCTCTATTTGCCTGGAGCAACAGGGGAAGAAGGAGAGTCAGGAATAGAAGGCGGAAATGGAATGCGAAACTAATTGCCTCCATGAACAATTACCTCCTTTGCCAGGAGATCAGAACTGGATGGTGCCCGACTACCATTACTGAACATTTTGATCAAAGATTCCATAGAAGAATCTTGATCAAAAGGGAGATAATGCAGAACAGATGTTCAAACTCTCATGGAATCCAGATTTTCTGGAGCCATGGAGCCTGGATGAACCCCTGAAACTACTGCCCTGAGATAATCTTTAAACCTTAAACCAAAAATATCCCCTAAAGTCTTATTAAAACCAAACAATAGTTTAGGCTTAACAAGGAAAGAATGTCTGCCTTGAGCATTATACTCTTTTAAGAACTATTTATATGGGATCAAGCTGACAACAGCAACTCAAAAGATTAGATAGGAAATTTAGGGGGCAGTGAGTTAATGTCAATGGGGGAAGAACAACTCAGAAGAGGGTGAGAATGGTTGAACAACTTGAAGAATGTAACCAGTGTCACTGAATTGTACCTGTAGAAACTGCTGGATTGGTGTATGTTTTGGTGTGTATATTCTCAACAACAAAATAAATAAAATTACTTTTTAATTTACATTATATAACAACATGGGTCAAGACTTCAACAGGCAGAGATGGGAAGGAACTGATTTACTGACAGAAGGAAAGTGTTAAAGGAATACGAATTACTTGATTTGACAGGTGAGGGGTGGTAACACTAGAAATGTAGTTGGACTCAAATTACGGAAAACCTTAAATGCTGAGATAAGGAAATTACATCAGCAATACTGGCATGTACTGAAAAGTAAGGTTATAAACCGAAGTGGCATGATTAGAACTACACTTACACAGGTTAATCTGGTAAGAGTGGACACATACTAGAATTTTCATACTGAGACAAGAATTGTGTCATTTATGATTATAATCTCCCACAACGAAGCTTATAAAGTGGTATACAACAGGGGCACAAGAAACATTTGAGCTAGTGAAAACAAATAGAAGGGATATATTTTCTCATGAAGATAGTAATAACACTGACATGTACGTATGACAGATGTAGGGCAGGAGCAATAAAGAAAAATTTCAGGTAAAGATGTCAGGTAAAGATGTTCAGGTGTTTGGGGCTCTGGCTGATCTTACCATTAAATTAATAAATAATTACTAAATGCCTACTGTGCAAACAAAGATGTCACTATGAAGACTAGCGTACGCCTGACGCAAGCCAGCGTTTTCAACTGCCTCGTATGCATGGAAAAGCTGGACAATGAATAAGGAAGACCGAAGAAAAATTAATGCCGTTGAATTGTGGTGCTGGCGAAGAATACCAAATATACCATGGACTGCCAAAAGAATGACCAAATCTTTCTTGGAAGACATACCACCAGAATGCTCCTTAGAAGCAAGAATGGAGACACTATGTCTCACACGCTTTGGACATGTTATCAAAAGGGATCAGTCCCTGGAGAAGGACATCACGCTTGGGAAAGTAGAGGGTCAGCGAAAGATAGGAAGACCCTCAATGAGATGAACTGACACAGTGGCTGCAACAATGGGCTCAAGCATAACAACGATTGTGAGGATGGTGCAGGACCAGGCAGTGTTTCTTTCTATTATACATAGGGTCGCAACGAGGCGGAACCGACTCGACGGCACCTAATAACAACAGCAAAAACGCCTACCGTGCATATGTAGTAGCAACATGCATAAAGGAATGGGACATGATTGAACATGGTGGAGTCATAAAAAGCAGTCTGGTATGATAGAAAGACAGCAAGGGAGGCCAAGAATGTGAATCAGTTTATCCATTAAACAATAAGCAAGAAATGACATAACACTAATATACTAAAAAAACATCTCTCAGGCTAAGATAAGAACAGTGAAGAACAGATAAGTGAAGAAAGATTAGAGACTAGATTCCCTCCTCCACCTGTGGTCCACAGACCTGCAGCAGCAGCAGCAGCAGCATCACCTGAGAATGTGCTAGAAATGCAGAAACTCAGGCCTCACCAAAGACTTTCGGAAACTGAGTCTGGTGATTTGTAGGCCCATTAAAATATGAGAGGACCTGGACCAGAGGGCGGGAGGGTAAACTGGATGGCTACTACAATTTCTCTGGTAATGGTCAGACCCCAAGGGCCAGAGGGAGAAAGCAGGTCAGTCAGCTGCCCTTGGAGATGCAAATCAACTGGGAATGCCGGTTCTCGGTTCTCTGCTCGCCTCTACAATTATAAGTATTTCTCTTTTAAGAACAGGTCTCAAAAGCAAACATGAGATACAGAGATCAAACAAATTCTAAATACTTCATCCAGGGCACTCCACAATTCATGTGTCCTAATATTCATTGAAAATAATGATTAGCAACTTCAGGAATAAATGTGACAATTCAAGATCTTTATAAAGTTCAGGAATTCCCCATTTCTGCTTAGGACTTAGAAGAAGAAAAACTTGCAAAAGTTAGTGAGATGGCATATTTTACAAATTTGGAGAAAATTAGAGAAGTGCTTTTGGAGATTTTAAGCTACAGGTAGATAACTTTTTTCTAAAATTATAAAAATTTCCATTTTTACAAGTGATAAGGTACAAGTAAAATTTACATATAGTTTTCAAATTAAATTTCTCCAAACTTGTTATTTTAAGAAGCCCTACCAAAATCACAAAGAAAACATTTTTCAGTGTTTTATATTTCTGTGTGTATTGATTTTCAGGTCACTTAAAAATCAATATAATAGACTGGGTATTAGATGACACCAAAAATTGTTGTTAATTTTGTTCGGTGTAATAACCCTGAAACATGTAAGGATGAATGAAATTGTTTTAAATACTTCAGCAAACAGAAAGGGTTATATGAAGAAAATGTGGCAAAATCTTAATAATTGCTGAATCTAGCTTAGGGGTCAGCAAACTGCAGCCTACAGTCTGGTTTTACATGGCCTAAGCTAATAATCCACCACCCATCTGTCAGTGTTAGTATGTTGTACTATGGTGGCTGATGTGTTGCTGTGATGCTGGAAGCTAACCCCAAGTATTTCAAATACCAGAAGGGTCACCCATGGTGAACAGGTTTCAACGGAACATCCAGACTAAGACAGACAAAAAAGGCCTGCCCATCTCCTTCCAGAAATTAGCCAATGAAAACCTTATGAGTCCCAACAGAACGCTGTCTGGCTCGTCTGGTTGAGACCCGTCTTCAGAAGGGATCATTCGCTGGAGGTCGACACCATGTTTGGTGAAGCAGAGGGCCAGTGAGAACGAGGGAGACCCTCCTTGAGATGGACTGGCACTACAGCAGCCACGATGAACTTGAACACGACAGTGATCATGAGGATGATGCAGGACAGGGCAACGTTTCGCTCTGTTGTACAGGGGCTCACCGTGATTTGGAGATGCTAGCTTTCTAACCTAAGAATGGATTTTCCATGTTTAAAAGATCATAAAAACAAAAAAGAAGAATATGCAACAGAGATCTAATGCTGCCCCAAAGTCTAAAATGTTTACTGGCAGGCATTTACAGAAAAAGTTTGCTGACTCCTGAGCTAGACACTGGGCACATGAAAGTTCATCGTGCTATACTCTCTACTTTTGCATATGTTAGAAAATTTTTATAGTAAAAGATTTAAAAATATGAATCTCACTGTACAGGAGAGAAAAACAAATTGAGTAAACTCCAAGAATACTTTAACAGAAACGAAATAAACACTCCATGATTTGCTCAAAACTCAGAGTGCTCTTTAAGCAATGATAAGTGATTCTCATTTAACAAATAACTGAGTGAATTATGTAGCAGGCACTGTTCTAGGACCAAGAGAGAGAGCACTGAATAAAACAGACAAAAATTCTTGCCTTTATAGAATTCTGGTGGAACTGTTACTCTTACTTTCTTATTTTAATTACAAATATTCTATCTTCCTCTCTTTCGGTGTGGTCAAATATACTGCTATGTTCTGGGGTAGGAAAATGAAACATTCTTACGTACTTGTTTTCATTACAAACAAACCACAACAACAAAAAATCACTCTGAACGTAAAAATGAGGCAAACAGTTCGTTTTTTAATCTAACAATACTCACTGGAGATCCGAAGTTGTGTCCGACTTCATGAGCAAAAGTAATGTGAGAGACTTTGGGAGGTACGTGAGACCCATAGTTCTGAACAGTAATTATTCCAGTGTTTAAGGACTTCCTTTTACCATCGGAGTAGAGCTTACTTTTTTCACATATTCCTCCAGAGCTTCCTAGTTCAGGGGGGTGGGGGGGGACGGGACACAACAAAAGGCTAAATTAGCATCTATTTCCACCCCCATCCACCCTCCAAGAGCTTTCCAACATATGCTCTATAAAACTAAAACATTTTCTATTTCTTGAGTCTAAAATACAATTGATACCCAAATGCATTAAATTATCAAAATTTTCTTTGGTCCAAGATTCGGAAGTCATTTAGAATAAAAGTTTTAACAGCACCCATAAAGAAACTTCCAGGACTGACTACAAAGCCCTTAGAAAAGGTTCTTCTTCACTGTCAAAATGTTCCCAAACTTTCGCTCTGGTTAATGCAGTGAATCAAATCTTTTTTAAGTTTCCCTTAAATTTGAATATATCGATATTTACATTAAGTCAGTACTTAATTTTTAAAACGAAAACCTACGGTTTAAGTTAAATGAAAGGTGAACAAAATACTCTCAAGGAGATTTTGATGAGGGTCATGTCTACAGACAATAGCAGTGGGGCACGTAAGCGTGTGAGTCACCGTCCTGAGAGGCCACACGCAGCGCGGTTAAAGAGGAAAAGAGTTATGTCAAGTGGGTAAGGAGAAAATAGTATCTGCGTGTGTACGTGTGTGCGCGCGTGTGTGTGTGCGTGCGCGCGCGCACTTGGGGAGAGGAGGAAGAAGGGAGAAAGGATAGAAAGGAGAAGAGAGGAAGAAAGCAAATGTGACAAAATGTTACCAAATGATTAATCTATCAGGCGTTCACTATACTATTTTTGCAACTCTGATAGGTTTGAAATTTTTTTCAAAATAAGTTTAAAAAATTGAATTACAATTTTTCCAATATGTCTTGAGGACACTTTAAAAATTTTAAAGCAAAAAAAAAAAAATCTACTTATATGGAGGCCCTGCATGGTGCAACTGTGAATGCACTTGACTGCTAATGAAAGGTTGGAGATTCAAGTCCACCCAGAGGCGTCTCTGAAGAAGGGCCTGGCAATCTACTTCCAAAAAATCAGTCATTAAAACCCTACGGAGCACAGTTCTACTCTGACATATATAGGGTTGCATGAGTTGAAATCAACTCAATGGCAACCAGCAACAATTATATGATACATATTAAATCACTTGCAGTTCATCTGTTCATTAATAGGAATTTTAGTCTAATACCAAAATGGCAGTGTTTTCACATCTAAAGGCAATTATTATGAGAAATTGGAAAAAGAACAACAGGAAAATCAGAAACTGGACAGTCAATCCATGTTATTATATATACTGCACCAAGAATACCATGATTTCATTTAATTAAACTTTATCCAAGAGTTTTAGTGAGAGGTTCTTTAATTTACATTCACATTTAAAATTTTTTGCTATTTGATTTTTATTAAAATATAATCAGATGGATTAGAGTATTCTGATAACTGATTAAATTATTTCAACTTAGGTTTCTACACACCAAGTTAAAACCAAGTTACTGAACCACTTAAAAATATCTAATATTTATAACCCCTGAAAAAGCACATAATAGAAGGTACACACACACAAAAGATCCGAAAGAATGGCATGGTACTCAAACACAATTACTACCTTATTCCTACTGAATATCAGAAAACACATGTCAACAAAACATAACTTTGGACCCACACATCTACGGTCAACTGATTTTTGACAAGGGTGCTAAGTCCATTCGACAGGGACAGAAGAGTCTCTTCAATAAAATGGTGCTGGGAAAATCAGATTTCCACATGCGGATAATTGAAGTAGGATCCATGCCTCACACCATACACAAAAACAAATTCAAAATGTCTTAAGGAACTAAACGTGCAAACTAAAACCATAAAATTGTCAGAAGAAAAAGCAAAGGCAACTCTGTCAGGCCTAGCTTTTAACAATGGATTATCTAATATAATAACAAAAGTACAAACAACAAAAGATAAACAAATGGGACCTCATAAAAATTAAAAACTTTTGTTCATCAAAAGACTTTACTAAAAAGTGAAAAGACAAGCTAACGACTGGGAGAATATCTCTGCAAATCATGTATACAACAAGAATCTAATAACCAAAATATATATAAAACTTTGACAACAACAAAAAGACAAATCACCCAATCATAAAATGGGCAAAGGACTTGAATGGACATTTCACCAAAGAGGACATTCAAATGGCCACCAAACACACGAAAAGATGCTGAGCATCATTAGCCATCAGTTAGATACAAATGAAAACCACAGTGAGATACCATTTCACTCCCGCTAGGATGGCTTAAGATTAGAAAAACTAAATATAACAAACGCTGGCAAAGATGTGGGAAAACTGGAACGCTTAACCACTGCTGGTGAGAATGCAAAACGGTATAGCCATTGCGGAAAACAGTGTGGTAGCTCCTCAAAAATTAGAACTAGAACTATCATATGAACCAGCAATTCCACTCCTAGGTATATACCCAAAAGACTTGAAAGCAGAGACTCAAACAGAGACTTACACACCAATGTTCACTGCAGCACTATTCACAACAGTCAAAAGGTGGTAACAATCTAACTGCCCATCAACAATGACTGGGTAAAGAAAATACGGTACATACATACAATGGAATACTACTCAGCCAGTAGGAGAAACGAAGTCTTGATACATGCACTACAATATGGATGGAGCTGGAAGACATTTTGCTGAGTGAAATAAGTCCATGACAAAAAGACAAATATTGTATGACATCACTTATATAAAAAGACAAGAAAAGGCAAATGTACAGAGAACAAAGTTTACTAGTGGTTACCAGGGGTGGGAAGGAGGGTCTAATCGTGATGAACTATCAAGTTGATTAAGGGTATGGTTGCACAGTAGATTATTGTATTTGCTGTCTATAAGTTGTACACCTGTAAAAAGTTGAATTGACAAAAGCTGTGTGGTAGATATATTTACAACGACGACCAAAAAAAAAAAAAAAGAGTAGCTGCTAAGGCTGCTTATATACAACCAAATGCCTCATGGGATTTGGTTTCTTGGTTTGGAGGTTTAGGGTCAAAGTTTCATGGGACACCCTAGTTAACTGGCCTAAAAACACGTCTAGCGCTTCTGTTTTACCTCCTAGTTTGAGGTGTAGTACCTGGTGTCTTAAAAGCTTGCAAGCAGCCATCCAAGGCACAATAGTTGGTCTCTATTCATCTTGAACAACAGAGGAAGGAGAGTCAGGAATAAGAGGAGGATATGGAATGTGTGGCTAACTGCCTCCATGAACAACTGCCCCCTTTTCCATGAGGCCAGAAGTCATCCATTCAGTTGATGGCACCCAGCTACCATTACTTAACATTTTGATCAAAGATTCCATAGAAGAATCCTGATCAAAAGGGAGAACAGAATTTCAAATCCTCATGGACTCCAGACATCCTGGAACCAAGAAGGTTAGATGAACCCCTGAAACTATTGCCCTGAGATATATCTTTAAACGTTAAACCAAAAAAATCCCCAGAACTCCAAAACAATGGTAACAACCTAGATGCCCATCAACAGATGAATGGATAAACAAACTATGGTACATACACACAATGGAGTACTATGCAACGAGAAAGAACAACGATGAATCTGTGAAGCATCTCATAACATGGATGAAACTGGAGGACATTATGCTGAG